GAAACAGAAAAGGCATTTTAGTAGAAAAACTGAATAAAGTCTATAGTTTTGTTTTTGTTGTTTTTGTTTTGTTTTTTGTTTTGGTTTTGTTTGTAAAAGCCTATAAAGAATTTGATACAAATTATTTTGGAGAATGTGACAGAGATCCCAAAGCAATACTTTATCTTTTAAAATGATGTATTTATGTGACTAAATGTATCAAATAAAAGCTATTAGTAGACATGGTGGGGGGAGGGGACAGCCTGTGGCTTTGCTTTGGGACTTATGTGGCAGATGATGCAAGAGACGCTGGAAGGAAAAGGGCAGGCCCTGGGAGTTTGCTGAGGCCAGGCAGGAGGATTTCTGTGTCACAGTAACTTCAAGGTCATTACCTTATTTTAACTCACAGTAATCCTATGAGAGAAGAGGTGTATTTATAACTAAATACAATTTTCAAATGAGAAAACTGAGGCTAAGAGACTAATCTACAGTAGCCACAATTTGTTGAGTGCCTGTTATAGATAAATCTCTAAACATTACTTCATTGAAGTCTCACAAAATGAGGTAGGGACAATTATTATCCCCATTTTAAAGATGAGGAAGCTGCAGAGTAAAAAAGAGGCACCCAAGGTCAGACCCAGTAGTAGCAGAGCTGGGTGAATCCAGGCTGGGTGCAGTGGCCGGCATCTATCATCCCAGCACTTTGGGAGACGGAGGCAGGAAGGTTGCTTGAGCCTTGAAGTTTAAGAACAGCTTGAGCAGCATAGCAAGTCCTCATCTCTACAAAAAATAAAAAAGTAAAATTTAACTGGGCATGGTGGTGCTTACCTATAGTCCCAGCTACTTGGGAGGTTGAAGCGGTAAGATTGCCTGAGACCAGGAAGCTGTGATCTCACCACTGCACTTCAGCCTGGGCAACAGAGTGAGACCCTGACTCAAAAAATAAAAAATTTTTAAAAACTGGGAGGATCCAGCTGACCCCAGGGGTGATCACCTCACCCATCCCCATCTTCCCTTCCTACCACCACATGTTCCACTTCACATTAGGCCCAAATCCAGCACAGCACTCACCAAGGACCTTGAATTGAAAAATAAATTACATCATCTCAGTCCACAGTCTCTGAGCACCATTCCCTTGGAAAGAGACAGTGAGGCAGAGATGGAATAAGACAAAGACAGATTAAGAGAAAGAGAAGACAAGAGAGAGAAAGGTAGGTAGAGAGTGCCCAGAGAAAGGCGGTGACCGTCTTTGAGGGTAACATTGACTAACGAACTCCAGGTCTGTGTTCCCAGAAACAGATCATTTCTGACAAAAGGACAGAGTTAGATACACACCCCGCTGTGCTAGACTGAGTCTGATCTATGGGAAACAGCATTGACGTTGCCATGGAAACCAGTCCTTTTCCCTCAACTGTTCAGGAGTGCTATTTTTTAAAAAAGAGATGGTGTTGTGTGGCTTCTTGGAAAAATTGGGAATCTATTTTTTCTTCTACATGACTCCCTAATCGGACTAGAATACATCGTGGGAGTAGAGGAAGGATAAATCAATCAACAGTAATTCCCACAGGTGGTCTTTCAGTTTTCCAGAGGAAAAAAAAGTATGTCTCTGTAAACGTCTGCTGACGCTATCAACCACTGCAATTACCCCAGGCACCATCATCACTCCTCTCCAATACGCAGCAATTGCTGTACATTCATCTCACTCCTCCTCTTCCCCAGCCAGGACTGTGAGCCTCAAGGGTGCAGAGGCAATCTCTAGAGCCTGTTGAATCTTTGCCAATAGTGCTGGCACAGGACAGACATCCCGTGAGCCCTTGTGAGAAGCCCTGGGCTGTTCCTCCACTGCACCTTCATGATGCTACTCACATTACCTGGAAAGACTACTCTGTGGCATCCTTCCTTCACCCTTGCAAATTCTTCCTGTCATAGTGCAATTTGTTCCTCAAGGCACTGTTCCAAGGCCAGTTCCTCCAAAAACTCAGGTTTACACCCGCTCGAATATAACCCCCCCTTCTGAATTTAGGAAGCAAGGTGCAGTGGCTCATGTCTATAATCCTAGTTACTCAGGAGGCCAAAGTGGAAGGATGGCTTAAAGCCAGGAATTTGAGACCAGCCTCAGCAATATAGCAAGACTCAGTCTCATTAAAAAAAAAAAAAAAAACTTCTAATACACTTGGCCCCTGCCCCATTACTTTCACAACTTTGATCCTGCCATTTATATGGATGCCTCTCAAGAGAGGTCCCCAATGTTGGTAAATAGATTTAAAAGTATGCCAAAGTCACAAACAGTGTATGTTTTACAAGCCTGGACACTATTTCTGTAATCATTACCTGGTGCCTCTGTCAGTCAGCAGGGCTCTGTGAAGCTGCATCCTCCAACACACAGAGGCACTCTCCTCCCTGCCAAACCCCTATGGATTAAATTCTTCCAACTGATGTCTCACTCCTTGGATACACTCACAGGAATTAGGTGTCCTGCTTTATTCTGATGAGAATCGCACTTGGTCCCAAGACCATTCCTAAAAGTAGAAGAATCTGCCACCCATCTCCTGGCCCTCCCATCCTCCCTGATTTCAGAGAAAAGATCATTTAAAAAAATTTTTTTTTGAAGCACTGGAGTGGCAAATCCATTTATGACAGAATGTTTGAAAATGTGTTAAGCCTCTAGTTGACTTTGTATAATTGAAAAAGATTGGGTATTTCTGTGTTGACCGCGTGGGTCTACCAGGACTTTCCAGTGGGGCTGGCTCAGACCCCAGCCCTGCACTCTCCTGTTCACTGTCCCTGAGGACGATGGAAGCCAAGGCTGTGGGGCATGGGTGGGCTGCCTGATGCCCTGTTGTCAGCTGCCCACTGTCAGTCGCCCACCTATCCCTCACTCACCTTGCCTGTTCAGCCCAATCCCTAGGACAGCATCAGCTTGGAGCCTCAGCTTCCGACTCCGCCCAAAGTCACTTCTGGTCTCTTCCTCAGATGGCTTGCCTTTCAAGTTAGAGACATGTGGGCACAAGCTACAAGCCATGAAGCAAGAGCCAGGGATGTGAGATGATGGCTGCAGGGTGCAGTGGTTAAGACCCTGGTACTGAAAGGCATGGGTTGCAATCACAGCTCTCCCACCCACCAATCTTGAGCAAGCCATTTCCCTACGCTGGGTCTCCACTTCCTCACCTTTAAATGGGGATGATGGTGATGATTTGGAAAGCAGTGGTGTTGAAGATGGAGGTACCTACCTCTCAGCATCGGTGGGAGGGTCATAAGAAGTAAGACAGCGCATAAAGCACTTAGTATTTGGCTTGGAGCAAGGGGTATTAAGTATTAAGTGTATTAAGTGGTGCTATTCTTAACATTGATAAGAGTTCGATTAACCGACTGAGTGTGGCAGCTCACACCTCTAATCTCAGCACTTTGGGACGCTGAGGGAGGAGGATTGCTTGAGCCCAGGAGTTCAAGACCATCTTGGGCAACTTGGTAACCCCTCATCTCTACCAAAAAAAAAAAAATCAAAAGATTAGCCAGGTGTGGCGGTGCATGCCTGTAGTCCCAGCTACTTGGCAGACTGAGGTGGGAGGATCACCTGAGCCCAGGAATTTGACGCTGTGGTGAGCTGTGATCGTGGGCAAGAGTCAGACCTCAACTCAAATAATAATAATAATAATAACAATAATAATTAACCATTGATTCCGAGTTCCAGTTGAGAATAAACTGGTTCACTTTTAGAATAACTGTGACTTGACTTTCTGAGAAATGAGCTAGAACCTTGAAAGTGTTGCTTGGGTCTTACACAAAACAAAAGCAGTCTAGGGGAGCAAGGAGTCCCACAGACCTGTGGGCTTTGGACTCCTGCTCCTCTGCTGCAGCCCTAAGACAGCTCTCTTCATCCCTCTGAGCCTCAGTCTCTTCATCTGTCTAATGCAGTTAATAATCCCCACATGCCAGGGTTGTACTAAGCCTTAAATGAACTCATTACAGAAAGGACACACTCCTCACTCATTACCTTCCTCCTCCACTATTGGTGAACCACCAGTTGCATTATGTCAAGGTCATCATCAGAACCTTCTGCCATTGTCCATTTCCACATCCTGAAACCGGCCTGATTTCCCCCTATAGAACTGATGTTTATGGGGTTTCTTTTTTAATAAACATAGAAATTGGTCTATGACCATACTATGCTAATCATGCCTGATCTCATCTGAACTCAGAAGCTAAGCAGGGTCAGGCCTGGTTAGCACTTGGATAGGAAGCCGCCTGGGAATACCGCATGCTATAGGTTTATTTAAATAAATAATAAACAAACAAAATAAAACAAAAAAAATAGAAAATGACTCTACCAATTTTAAAAGTTACATTTGCCTTATCTGAGTTTCTTTCTCAAGAGACCAACCCTCAGGTGAGGGATTGAAATTCACTGGATCACTCCATCCGGACAGTGAGTCACCAGACCCCTCACTGGGCATGACTGCTTCCTTATTCCTCCCTAATTGATGTTTTACATCCCTTCCCCCACTATATAAACCCCCAATTTCAATTAACACTGTGGAAGGGATTTGAGATTGAAACTCCCATTCTCCTTGGCTGATACCACCAAAACAAACTTTTTCATCTCAGTGATTGGCTTTCTGTGTGGTGAGTAATGGGACCCAACTGAATCCCTGGAGTTTTGGTAACAGTCAACTCTGTCTCCAGACCTCAGGGCAGTGATTCTGTGTCATTCATCACTTTCTGCACTGTGGACAGGATAGCCTGGTCCTCAGAAGGTACCCAGCAGATGACCACAGCCGGAAGGATGCCGGTCTGCAAGACAAGTAACCAAAAGCATCTCTTGGTCCTTGCTGAGGACCTCAGAATCATTTCTGTCTCCCCGGTTGCCTGAAGATGGAAGTCCCCCTGCAGCCCAGTTCCAGCCCCAGCCCAAGCCCACAGCACTCTGCCCCCAGGGCTGGTCCTGCCCTTTGGGACCCTGCCCCCCGAATCTTCTCTGTCAGGCCCACTGAGCAGAAGATAAAGTAAGCTGCAAAGGAAGGTCAAGACTCTCAGACACATCTATCTTTATTTGTTTCCTGTCAGAAAATTTCAAGAATTACACCAAAAAATACTTCAGCCTCTGCTACCTACTGACAAAAATACACCACAAAATTATAAAGCGCTCAGCGGTTTGGCTAGGGACAATTTGTTATTCCGCTTCAGATGACAAATGAATTTACAGGTGACTCGAGGTGATGGGAGGGCGGGGGAGAAGGGAGGAAAAATCAGATGAGAGCATTTGGCAGGATAGTTTGAGCTACACTAGTCTTATTACCCAGCTGTTGTGTGCGATGATTTTAGCAACATAGCAAGCCACAGAAAATACCCTCTAAATGGCCTGTTGGAGACTCGAAGGCAAACAGTACTACATCTTGAATAACCAGCTCTCCCAGCCAGTTCTGGTCCTGTGGGACCTGGAGCCTACACCCTGCAAAACCAGCCTCCCCAAAACATTTGTGGGAGGCAAGAGAGAGCCCAATATGGTTCCAGGGCAGTGGGAGGCCTAGTCAACGCTGGATGCTGCCTCCTTATCAGAAGTTTCTAGAACCCGGCTGAGGAGCTTGGACGAATGTCCCCTGTCAACACAACGGAGTGGGCATAAGACAGTCACTTTTTCAGCTTCCTTTAGAAATAATTTGGCATCGTTGCAGCCCAAATCTTAATGTCTCTTCCCGGCTGTCACTTGAGGTTTCTGGTTATAATACTATTGTTGTTGCTATTGTTATTAGCACTTTGGGAAACAATAAACAAGCAAGAATTTTAAAATTAAGTGCCTGTGCTTATCGCTTATGGCCAAGCGTCACATGCCTGTTCTGTGCCTTCCTCCTCCTTGAAGCTTCTCCTTCCTTCTCTCCCTCCCTACCTCAGCTGTCTCGTGACCATGGGCAGTATCCAGGTGCGGATTCAGAAAGACAAGAAAAAGACAAAGAAACTCTGCCCACTCCTCAACATTTGCTGATGCAAGACCCATCACCATAGGGTGAGCATTCAGAGCCCGGGACACAAGTCTGCCCAGACCCTGGTGTGGAGGTCCGGAAAGTTTGTGCTCATCTTGCAAAATGTACCATGCTCGGTACATTTTGCTGTGGGTCATGTGCAGCCTGGGCTTCGTAATGCCAGAATCAGTCTTCCTCTCCAGCTTGGCCATTCCTAACTTCCCGAGTTCCTATCCTGCAGGCCGGAGGCTCACCAGATAGCCCCGTCTATGTCACTCACATATCCTGCACCCTCTGAACTCCCCACGGAAGCTACAATTCTTCGTCTAAGAAGCCCACTATGTCTGACTCTTGACTGCTCTCCAACGGCTTACTGATGGAGCCAGGTGAGTGCTTTCTGTTCATTTTCTTTGTTTCTTTCCTTCTTTGTTGTTACATTTTCCTAACAAAGAATAAGCAGTGGCTTTGAAAATATCTTACATGGGAACAATCAACACGAAACATGCCTTTGTACATGAGCCTGACTCGGGGACGAATCAACAATACCAAGGGACAAAAAGAAATATCGATTCAGACAACTCCAGTGCACGATATTTTTCGGTGAGTTCCTCCCTCCCCACCCTGCCCTGCCCTGCCCCGCCCCCGCCCCCAAATCCCAGGAGTACAGTGTTGTCTTATAATTGGAGCTTGGCTTAGCCAACGGGGGTCCCACTCTCCACTCCGCCCCCCCCCATCCTGGCTGGGTGGGCCTCTAGTGGCCCTGGGTCTTGGGCGGCTTGGGCTCATGGATGACGGCGGCTGCCGACAGCCACGGCCCGATGGCCCGGGCAGTGCTCTGCTTGGCCACACTGTAGTGGCTGATGACCGTGTAGAAGCGGCTTCTAGAGTTGGGGTCCTGGGAGGAGTAGTAAGCATCCAGAGAGGCCGGGATACAGCGCTTGTGCTGGGGAAAAAAGAGACAGAGTGAGGGTCGTTCCATGGGCTGCTCCCAACCCTCCCAGCCACACTGCCACCCAGTCTGGGAGCCAGAGCTACATCAGTCTCTCAGCCAAGGGCAGGGGACAGCTCCCAACCTGGGTCTAGATTCAGTAGCCTTCAGCATCAGGTCAATCACCATCATCAAAGCTCCACTTAGAAGAAGCAGAAGATCTGAACCTGACGTTGATATTAACTCAAGGGCAACCTCTTCTGCTTACTGAGTATAGGACTGCTGTGGATGCTGTAAGGACCCCCACTAGACCCCTTCTGTCTGGCTGATTTGTCCCCCGCCCCCTCATTGCCTCTCTAAGCCACCATTCACAGCCAATGACTGTCTCTTTTATTTTCTTGATTTTATATGTGCATCTCTTTTCTCTTACAGCAAAAGTCTGGGTTCCTAACAACATTATGCATTAGCCTACAATATATACATATATATAGAACAGTCACAAAATAACACCAATACTATCACTAAAAGTTAGACTATTGAATGAACTTGGACATTTCTTGAAGCTGTAAGTGTCCTTAGAATATGTTTCACGGCCGGCCTCGGTGGCTCAGCCTGTAATCCCGCACTTTGAGAGGCCGAGGTGAGTGAATTGCCTGAGCCCGCAGGTTCGAGACCCGCCTGGGCAACTTGGCGAGGCCTCATCTCTACAATAAATCAAAAAAATTAGCCGGGCGTGGTAGCGCGTGCCTGTAGTTCCAGCTACTTGGAAGGCTGAGGCGGAAGGATCACCGGAGCCCGGCAGGTCAAGGCTGCGGTGGCCGGGAGCGGCCACTGCACTCCAGTCTGGGCGACAGAGTGAGACTCCAACTCAAAAAAAAAAAAAAAAAGAAAGAAAAACAAGAATATGTTTCACTACAGATGTCAAGTCAATATGCTGTATTCTATATATAGTCACTAGGAGGATTTATTTTCTTTGCAAGTTTATGTCCCTGACTTAATATAGAGTTGGGTTCTTTATTCATTGTGTTTTGCCAAATTTAGTTATTTATTAAATATGCCAAACATTTATATGTTTCAAGAAAGAATACAAGGGGGATGCAAAAAATAAAAAACAGAATTTATTTTTTTAATGATGTATTTATTTTACATGTTTAAGCTTCAATCACTTTCAAAGTACTCTCTGTTTGATGCAATTCGCCTATCAAGATGCTTTTCCCACTGCTCAAAACAGTTTTTGAGTTCATTAGTTTTCATATCTTTTAGTGCTTCTTCCATTTTTTGTTTCACCTCTTCCACATCAGTAAAACATTTCCCTTTGAGGACTTTTTTATTTGGGGAAACAACAAAAAGTTGCTTGGGGTGAGATCTGGTGAATGGGAAGGGTGGGGTACGAGAGTCATGTCATTTTTGGTCAAAAACTGCTGAGCACTCAGCACGGTGTGGGCAGGTGTGCTCATCAATCACTCATCCTGAAATGGGCAAACACTTTGAAAGAATCTCCAAAAAAATTCACTGAAGCTGAACTCAACCTCTCACAACAATGCTGTCTGGTGCAGATGACAATGGGTTCCTAGACCTAGCAGGGGAAACTTGTCTTACAAGGGGCCTCCCCTCCAAAAGACAGTTGTTGGGTTTTTTGGATCCCTGGATTCCCTCAAATATAGTAACCTACATCCAGAGAAGTCTTGCTCCTCCCTGTCCTTGCCACTCAGTTCCCTCTTTCCTCCTGAGTAACTATTTTTTATTAAGTTTTTATATGCTTCCAGAATTTCTTTCTGAAAAAATAAGCAAGCTTATTTCATCTACCCTTTTCCCACACAAAGACAGGACCTTTCTTCCTTCATGTTCCAATGTGATCTCAAAGGATATCCTATGTCCATGGATAGAGGCCTCCCTCCTTTACATTCCCAGTTGTGTAGAATTCCAACATTATGGATATAGTGTAGTTTATTCAACTGTCCCCTAGTGTTAGTTGTTTCCAGTTTTCCAGAACCTCAGCTTCTGACCACTCAGAGGGTAGTCTAAGATGTCATACAGCAGAACTGAAGGATATGTGTTTTCAGATTGGCACATTTCCTTTTGATGCGCCCCCACCCCCCGGCCCCATGGAAACATAATAGCTGTGATGTCTTGAAAAACCTCTTAACAAAATACTCTTAGAACCTGGTTTCTCATATATAAAATGGAAGTAATAAAGTCTGTTTTTTCAAAATGTTTTTATGACTCAATTGAGATAATATTTAAGACAATGTCTAGCAAAGGACTTAACGTATGACAGGTACTCAGTAAATGGTCATTATTATAAATATATATTTTTTTGTGTCAGGGTGTCACTCTCACCCAAGCTAGAGTGCAGTGGCACGGTCACGGCTCACCACAGTATCGATCTCCTGGGCTCAGGAGATCCTTCTGCCTCAGTCTCCCAAGTAGCTGGGATTACAGGCACATGCCACCACACGTAGCTAATCAAAAAAAATTTTTTGTAGAGATGGAGTTTCACTATGTTTCCCAGACTGGTCTTGAAATCCTATGCTAAAGCAATCCTCTCACCTCAGCCTCCCAATGTGCTGGGATTACAGGCATGAGCTACCATGCCTGGCCTATAAATATTAATATTATAACTTGTTTTAGCACTAAAACAAATTCTGTCTTGATTGCAACTAACATTTGTCTATTACCTAGCAGGCCCTTTGTTAACTGATTTCACTTAAATTCTTTTCTTATGACCTCTAAACTACTATAGGGAGGCATTGTTAGCATCCATTTTGCTGGCAAGAAAACTGAGGCTTCAGGAGCAGGGAAACTCCTCAAGGTCATGCCGCTGGTTCAGTTATTCAAGGGAAGAGGAAACACGATCAGAGCAGTGGTTGGGGGAAAAGGGTCCAGCTCTAGGACTTGGGGACGGAACCTCAGAGAACCTCAGAAGCACCCTGTCTTCACACTTCTCCAGGGTCACTCTGGGGGCAACCCACCAGCCACCAAGCCAGGAAGACCCATGCCAAGAGGGGTGCCCCAAGATGGAACAGTCAAAGTGGCAGTGAGCTTCCCTCCTGTTGATGTGGCTTCTGAAGCTGGGTCACTTTGGACCCCAAAGAGTACCATCACTGGTGAGGGACTCTCCTGCCTCCTGGAGGCCAAGTCCTTGTGAAAACCTGAAAACTCTTTGTCAGGCACATAGTACATTTTACACGGTCCATAGGGAGGTTTCCATACCCAGAATTTGGACACTAGTGAAGGGAAGACATGTATAAAGCCTCCACTTGCACTTGACAGTGACCTGGGCTACCCGCCTGCTAGGAACCCCTTACCTTATAGACGAATCCCTCTGGGCAGCTGTGGTCATAAGTGAAGGCTTTGTAAACCACCAGGAACACAATGCAGGCGAGGAAAGCTAGGGCCAGGCTGACAAGGATGGTGACCTGGAGGAAGACAAGATTGAAAGTCATCCAGCCTAAGCCTCCCATCTCTGGTGCATGTGTGCAGCCTCCAGATCCAGCATGGCAGCAGCACATGGTGTGCTGACAAAAGCCAGTGGCCCGGGACTCAAAGGACTAGCTCTGCCCCAGCTTTGTCACCCACTTGCAGCCTCAGGCAAACCACCTGTACATATTGGGCCTCAGGTTATCCCTTCTTCAGGATAATCTCTGAAGCTCTTTTTTGACCCAGTATGTGATTTCCCCTCTCCTTTTACTTGTCCTGCTATGGGAGAGTGGGTGTTGGGTATTAAGGCATCACTTCCCATGCTTCCCACTTTCCATCTCCCCCACCCTCACCACCACTACTGAATCCCCATCTCGGACATCACCTCCACTTGGACATCGAATACATATTTATTTTATTTTATTTCTTATTTTATTTTAACTTTAGACAGAGTTTCGCTCTGTCACCCGGCAGATTATCTGACCTCCTGGCCTCAAACAATCCTCCCACCTCAGCCTCCTGAGTCACTAGGATTACAGGTGTGCACCACCACTGCTAGCTATTTTTTTAAATTTTACTGTTTTATTTTGTTTTTCATTTTTGGTAGAGATAAAGTCTCGCTATGTTGCCCCGGCTGGGCTTGATCTCCTGGGCTTGAATGACCCTCCCACCTCGGCCTTCCAAAATTCTGTGGTTATAGGCATGAGCCACCAGACCCCATCCAGGACACACAACTTAAACACATTCTCCAAACTCCTGCTTTCCTCCCTTCCCAAACAAGCTCCTTCTATATTCTACCTCATCTCAGGAATGTCAGCGCCACTTCTACAGCCACTCAAATCAGACATTGTGAAGTCATCCTTGACTCTCTCCTCACACTCTACATCCTGTCAGCAGTAGAAACGATCATCTCTGCCTTCAGATGCATCCATAATCTGATCATCTCTTACCACCTCAATCATTTCCAACCTGGCTTGAGTCATTCTCACCTCTCACCTGCAGCAACCAACAGCCTTCTACCTAGTGTCTTTCTTGCCACCATAGTATATTCGACACACACACCAGAGAGGTCCTTGCAGAATCAAAGACAGGGCACAGCCCTTTCTTGCTCAAAGACATGTCAGGGTCTCCAATCCAAGTAGAGGACAAAACCAGCTCCTACTCACTACCTACAAGCAAGTTTTTTAAAAAAAAATAATACAGACTGGGCATGGTGGCTCATGCCTGTATTTCCAGCAATTTAGGCAGCCAAGGTGGGAGGATTACTTGAGCCCAGGAGTTCAAGACCAGATTGGGAAACACAAGATCTCATCTCCAAAAAAAAATTTAAAAATTAGCTAAGTGTAGTGGTGCACTCCTGTAGTTTCAGTTACTCAGGAAGCTGAGGCAGAAGGATCACCTGACCCTAGGAGGTCCAGGCTGTGGTGAGTCATGATTGTGTTACTGCACTCCAGCCAGGGCAACAGAGTGTGACTCTGACTCAAAAATCAATCAATCAATTACCAAACTGTGGGCATCATCAGGATTTATCAGAAAGGAGTATCTGCAAATTTCAGACGTACCTCCAGGGTTGTACTGGCCCCATCCCACCCCCTGTGTACAAAAGGGCAGGGAACTCCAATATTCAGGGAATTCCAATATTGATACATCTGGTATAATTATATGTGTGTTATTTTAAAAAGCTGGTGGTTCCTTGAGTCTGTTGGCTTTAAAATGTGGAGGAATTCTTTTCATGGAGAAAAGTTTCCTTTTGATTCAGAAGAAAGATGGGCACCTTGGGGGTGCCCAACCCATTTCCTTCCCACCCCAGGGTGTGTTTATCAGAGGGAGGTGTGAGTTGACACTGCTCCGAACAAATGAACCTGTTCGTTGACAACTTTAAATATCAGATGGGAGGAATTTAGAAAGGAAAAGAAGAAGATGGACATGGGGGGAGCTGTGCAAATTCCACGGGTAGACATTGGCCATGAGAATCCCTCATGCATGTGTGTGTGTGTATGAAGTTTTAGGACAGTGTCAGGTCAAATCAATTTTAAATGATTGTTGGCACCGTGTGCTGCCCACCCTGTCCATTACCCTAACCTGGCCTTTGAAGCCAACTGCACACTCATTAGCCTCCTGCCCAGGGCTGGGGTAGTCATAGGGTGGGTTGAGATGGTACAGAGATCAGACCAGGATCACCCAGGCAAGATGTGGAGTCAAGATGGGGGAGTCAGTGGAGGGTGGTCCTGGAGCAAGATACCCCTGAAGAAACACACGCCCTGAAAATCCCCGAAGATAGCATTTGAATAGTATAGGAAAGGGAGCTGCCCATGACCATCACTCAGCAATGCTGAGGTCTACCCGGTCAGCAGACACTTGAAGTACAGATGTAAAGAAATTCAAAATGTCCACCCAGTCAGAGTAGTTATTTTTAAAAAGTCTAGGATGGGCATGGAAGCTCACTCCTGTAATCCCAGAACTTTGGGAGGCCGAGGCAGAAGGATCACTTGAGTGCAAGAATTCAAGACCAGCCTGGGCAACATACCAAGACTTTGTCTCTACAAAAAATAAAAATAAAATAATTAGCCGATTGTAGTGGCACATGTCTGTAGTCCCAGTTACTCTGTAGGCTGAGGTGGAAGGATCACCTGAGCCCAGGAGGTTGAGGATGCAGTGAGCCATGATCACGCCACTGCACTCCAACCTAGGTAACACAGTGAGAACCTGATTTTTTAAAAAAAGTAGTCTAGAAACAACAGATGTTGGTGAGGATGTGAAGAAAAAGGATGTTCATACACTCTTGGGGGGGATGAAAATTAATACAACCACTATGAAAAACAGCATGAAGATTTCTCAAAGAACAAGAATAAAACTATACCATTTGATCCAGCAATTCCACTACTGGTTATCTACCCAAAGTAAAAGAAATCATTATCTAAAAAGGATATCTGTACTCGTATGCTTACCACAGCACTATTCACAAGAGCAAAGACAAGGAATCAACCTAAATGCTCATCAACAAATGATTGGGTAAAGAAAAGTTGGTATATACATATACTGTGGAATACTACTCAGTCATAAAAAGTAATGAAATCATGTCTTTTGCAGCAACATAGATGGAGCTGGAGGCCCTTATCTTAAGTGAAATAACTCAGAAACAGAAAGTCACATGCCACATGTTCTCAGTCATAGGTGGAAGCTAAACCCTGGGTACACACAGGCACACAGAGTGGAATAAGGGACATTGGAGACTACAAAATGTGGGCATGTGGGAGGGCACAAGGTATGAAAAATCACCTAACAGGTGCAATATTTACTCTTTGGGGGATGAGTGCACTAAGCACCCAGACCTTACCAAGATGCAATATATGCACGTAAGAAACCTGCACTTGTACTAAGTATCTAAGTATTTTAAAATAATAAAAACTGTAACATATGAACAGATAAATAAAATGTCCATATTTCTTAATAGCCAAAGGGCTGAAAGTGCCCAAATGTCAAGAAACTGATGACTAGATAAACAAACTGTGGTCTAGCCACACAACAGAAAGTTGTCCATAAAAGGAATATGTGCTAGTGTGGCAGACCTCGACATCATTATGCTGAATGACAGAAGCCAGACACAGAAGATACTTACCATGTGATTCCATTTATATGAGACAGTCAGAATAGATGCGTTCACAGGGATAGATGCAGATTGGTGTGCACCCAGGCCTGGGGTCTAGAAACAAGGAATGACTTGCTAGGGGACTTTTCTTTTGGGGTGATAGAAATTTTTTGGAACTAGACAGAGGTGATGGTTGCACAACACTGAATGTGCTAAATACCATGGACTTGTTCACTCTAAAGTGGCTAATTTTGGCTGGGCACGGTGGTGCACACCTGTATTCCCAACACTTTGGAAGGCCTAGGCAGGAGGGTCACTTGAGCCCAGGAGTTTGAGACCAGCCTGGGCAACATAGGGAGACCCTATCTCTAATACAAAAATTAATTAATTATTTTAAAAATAAAGTGGCTAATTTTATGTTATGTGAGTTTGCTTCAATTTTTAAAATAAATGCCCAGAGCCCAGGCAGTATCCTGGCCCCTACAGCTCTCCTGGGACAGGGGGCCATTTTACTGTGCAATGACTCTTTCTGTCAAAGGGACCTTAACATCCTTCTAGAATCCCCGCACTCCACAGAGAGCGCCACCTGGACCTGGCCAGGAGAGCTGTCTATGCGACAAGGACTCAGACATGGTCCCAGGGCATTCCTGGAGTTGACACGGCTGCAGGCTCATGTGTGCAAAGGAAAGAGTGGAAGGTCTACCCTGATAGGCAGAGTCTGGAGAACCTCGGAGCCTCCTGTCCCAGTGACCACAGATGACCCCAACCCCTGCCCAAGCAGAGCTCAGGCCACTGGGCAGAGCCAGGAGCAGAATAAGACCTCCCAGCATGGGCATGGATATCCCCAGACAGGCTGGACGTGAACTCTGGGTGGTTAGTGAGGAGGCGCTGGGGGCTGGTGTAGGGCCTAGCATGTCCATCCGAGGGCCAGAATCCCCTCATGGAGTGGGCCCTTCCACTCCTAACAGTCCCTGAGTTGCAGCCTAGGGCTAGTGTTTTCAAAGTCTACCCATATGTGTAGCATGTCTTCATTTCCTTTTATGACTGAATAACATTCCACTATATAGATAGACCACAGCTTATTTATCTATTCACCAGTTCATGGACATGTGGGCTGTTTTTGCCTTTTAACTACTGGGAAGTCCAGACGTTTTATATTTCTTTACATCTCTGCTTCAAATATCAGACTTACAGGGTAAGTCTGGAGGCAGGGAGGTCAACAGGGAGGCTGATGCAGGCCAGACCTGGGCAGTGAAGCAGAAACAGTTAATGGCCTGGAGAAGGCCTAGCAGTAGCACAGTGTTGTGAGGCCAGAAGAGGAAGATCTGGGTCAGTGGGAGAGGGTCTGTGTTCTTCTTATTACTATTTTTTTTTTTTTCATTAATCAGTAGTTTTTATTATGGTTTTGTG